CAGCAGGAGCTGAAACCTGCACATGTGTCACAGCGAAAGCAGTGGCACACTACCAGAACAGCTTTTAAGACAGGCAGTATTATTCAGAGAGCTAAGTGACGTTACTCGCCAAGACTGCCACAGTCATGCACTCTTCTAGCTGTTACCAATATGAGTGCTCAGTGCAAAGATGATAAATGGAAGGTTTTGAGACAAAACACTGTGGTCTCATAATATAGGCAGAAGCAGCCTTGCCAGTGGGATTTGTATCATAAAGGCAGCAGCTCCTTCCATTACATGCAGGATTTCCCATTATTTCCCATCTGATGCCTCAAACACACTGTTTGGTAAAAAACCTAAGGATTCTGCACCAATGGAGTAATGTTTTTGTCTAGAGTTAGCACGCGTAACTGTTTTTCAAAATGTCTGGAAGTTTAAAATCTTCCAAGTATACATCAACTGTTTCAAAAACTAGTCCTCTTTCCATTAAAGCTCAAGAAAATATGAGTAGCCTGTAAGCCACAATCACTTAAGATATGGCCAGCAATAGCAAAAACTGGAAAAGAAGGTAGAGAAAAAAAATAATTTAGAAGAATGGACAACCAAAACTGACCCCTATGGACCTTCAAAGTTTCAAGTAAGCTCTCATTTCCCAATCTGCCTTTCCATTAGAACTCTGCACACAGCAAGTACATGACTTTCCCAAACATCCCCCTTCCTTCCCTTTCGGAAGGCAAAGAGGAAAATAAATCAGCTGACCTTCTGAACAGTAGTAGTGAGATCCAAGCAGAGCTGAATGATTCTGTTCTTCATTGATGAAAAGTCAGCAATGCCTGTAAATGGGGTCCTGCAACGAGAGAAAATTCCCTTAGATCAAAGGGACCAGACTTCTCCTATCCTACCTTATCAGTGAGGAACAGCATGTGAGAGCAAGAGCTGTAACTCTGACATTCACACAAGCATGGTAACACAGCTTTAAAATATAAATATTCCTGACTGCATAGTCCCACTCTATCCTTGGACCAAATCTGGTGAATGTCTAGCCCTGTGATAAGAAAGTTTGGAGAACAAAACCAGAAGAAACCATCCATTTTCCAAACTGCATTTCTCTCAGCTACATTGTCAAGCCAGATGACACCGTGTTGCAAAAAATCACACCCCTGCGTTTGCCAGTGAGTAGATTTCTACCTTGGAAGTCTTCTATTACTAAATCCAAGTGAGATAAAAAAAACCCAAACAACTCTCTAAAAGAAGAAGAAAAATAGATTTCATACTTTACACACAGAGGTGCAATGAGGCTCAATCTTAGAAAAGAATCACCATAAGTAGAACAGCTTTAGAGACTCTCACCACAGACCCTCCAGACAGCTGAAAGGGATAAAAGAGGATTCAGAAGTAACCCAAGCAGGTCTGGAGATGGACAAAGCATCCATCTTGCTGATGGTGGGTTGCAGAAGAAATTTTAGGGCAAGCTGCCAGCAACAGGCTGACACGAGAGGACAACACCAGAGGCACAAGCTATTAACATCACTGTCTGGACACAGAACCAGTTCCTTACTGCAGATCAGGGACATTGAAGGATAAAAGCTCTCCTTGCTGCCTGTCCCCATGTAGCTTTCTTCCTAACCCTCTTTCTCAGGAAAGCTGGCTGGGGATTAGAGAATTGATGTTCATCTGTTATCCTGACCAGGATCCCAGCCAGCACCCAACCAGCTCTGTTATCTGTTTGGTTCTGCTACAGTTGTCACAAATAAGCTCCAGCTCTTGCCAGGGAAATAAACAAAAAAATAAATGCAGAGGGATAGTCTTTCCTACCATTCAGTTTTCATGCAATAGAGCTAAAGCCATGATTTCTGCAAAACATTAAAAGTTCTTTTAGAAAGGGACCTGCCAATGACAAATAATTTAGAAGGTGAGAAGGTGAGAGGAGGAAGTCACATGTATGAGAAATTTGCCTGAAAATTGGTCAGTTGCCCTGAACAGGAAGAACCCTACTTTTACAAATACCATTTTGGACCCAATGTTAAAGGTTTCACCAGTTTTAGCAAGAGTAGATACCCTAAATTAAATTTTTCCACTAGAAGCTTTCAGTATTGCCAGCAAAGGTGAGCAAAATCAATATCTTTACACCCAAACATCTGGAAATTGTGCTCCAAGGAGAAGCAATTAATTATAGCAGTAAATTAAAATATAAAGATTTTATTCTTACCTGTCCAACCATGCAAGCAAGGCTTTAGCAGCACCAATAAGCTCTACCACGGAAGTAAGGAATTCATTGGGGGGCTTGCGAGAGGTGGTCCCATCATAATTGGAACTTTTCCTACGACTACTGATGTAATTTTGCAGATTGTTGGACGACGCTCGCAGTTTGAGAACCAGGTTCTTCATATTGTCTGTTTCAAGCCCGTAATTCTGCAAGGAATAAAAAGTTTGATAAATCTCCCTTTTTAAGTTCTCCTATTTATTATACAAGTTACAAACACAACTGAGTATTTGCTCTTTTTTTTTTTTTTCTCTCCTGTGTTTCTTGGTTTTGGGCTTTTTTTTTTTAAAATGCCTTCTAAGATTTGTTCTACACAACATCCACAAAATAATACTTCTCTGGGTGCCAAACTCCCTCAGTTTCTGACATGAATGAGATTTTAGGATGCTTTTCAATCAGAACGATGGCCCAATGTCCCATCATACGTAATTTATGTTTAAAATGTAGTTGGAGTAAAAGGAATGTGCTTTTTTTGTTAAAGGAAAGCAAATGCTATATTTTATTTTTTTTTCTTAAAATGTCTTCTGGAGAGGTTTCAGCTACTCAACTACCTTTAAAATACCCACCACCTCCTATGGAGAGGATTCCAGTGGGTTTAAGCTACACAAGTGCCTCCCTCCTCCCCCTGAGGGCTCTTGGCAAGGAAATAGCCTTGAAGTATAGCCAGCAGCATTGGTTGAGAGGATATGTCCAATAAAATAAATGCCACTAGTGCAATAGCAAAGGACATTCTTAAATTTTCCAGGATCACAGAGAGGGGAAGATTTGGATTACTAAATAATGGTAAAGTATTTGCACACTGTCATGTGTGAACTTACCATCTTTGCATTTTAAACAAAACAAACAAACAAACAACCCACACCCAAAAACAAGAGCATCATTCAGTTAGTTTTTTCCCCCATCACAGGACATTGCATATTAGTCTATTTTTGGAGAAATATTTCTTCACCAATGGGGCTGGCTGTGGGGTAAGTTCCTGTGACCACAAGAATTTGAAAATAGCCATATGCCAGAAATGTCATCCTTTAACAGGGGAATTAGAGGATGCTAAGCCCCCCTCCCCTTCCATAAAGGGACAGAAAATGCAGCATTTTTTTTTCCTGTTCAGTGATATAACCACCTAATCACTCTGGTCAGAACTTGAGAGAGTCTCCATAAAACTAAGTATCTCCAGGTCTTTCTCTCATTCAGGTGCAAAAATTGGGCCCAACACTTGTGGGTGTCTGTGACTAGAGCTGGCCCGAGCACTTTAAAGAACATATGTTGATATACCAGGTTAAATTTCAGTTTTGGACCTAAAACATTCACATACTCCTTATCACACCTTATTTATACAGTGGGACACTCCAGCGTGACTTTTCCAGTTCAGCTAGTTTTTTAATAATTCTGTCAAGTAGTTCTCAGTTTTGAGGTGGACTTCAACAATGCAGGTGTGGCCTCTGGAGATACCAGGGCCCCAGCTTATGGCTACAACTGGTTTCCTCTTGTTTATCAAGAACATATCGCAGTTCTTCAGTTACTGCTCTAAGCTTTCCTACAACTTCTCCCTGAGACTTTATGGACTGCACCCAAGATGTTTAAACCACCCAAGCCTAATGACCAGAACAGGAGCATGAGCCCATCAGTACCAGAGACAAAATTCTCCAAGTTTAACCTGTTTGCTCTAATACACAGAAGTCATTATGCCCCTTCAGCAGACATAGTAATGTTTCTCTGCAAGCTGACACTAATTGACCGCCTCACACACAACACCTATTCCTGCTATTTTTCTGCTCCTTCACTTGCAGTGTCCAGTCTGTTGGGAGTCCTGGTCTGCGGAAATAAATCATGCAAAAAATCTATTGCCTTTTTTACTGTAGTGTGCTCTCAACTGGTGTAACTCCTTGAAGTAGCTCACCTCAGGGTCAGGTGAGTACAAGCAGAAAGATGACTAATCAGAGAACAGGAGGGAGCAGAGGCAGCAGCTGACTTGGATTAATTTAACTTGTCACAGAGTGGTAGCCCCAGTTCAGGACATACAGGAATGCTGATAGTGTATGAACACACCAAACAGCCTTATCAGCAACACATTGCTGAAGTTCAAGACTTAGCAGGCTTTTTTGAAGTATTTCTTCAGGACTGAGGCTACAATATTTAATTATTTTATTATTTAACCAACCAAAAGCTTTTAGATATTGCTCATGAACCAAACAACACATTACATTTTCCTATCCCTCCCAATTTAAAACATCAACGTTGTTTTCATCAAAACAGGCTGAAGCCAACGGTCAAAAGCAAACACTCCCAGGTTGTTACTGATTAACCTGGGGAACCATACACAGGGCTGAAGTGAGAGACAGCAGATGCATGTGCATGAGAGAGCACGTGCACAAGAGCACACTCT